TTGCAAGAATGAACTTCGAGTCAATGGTGGAGTTGGAGATCTTTATGATATGTCCAAAACCTGCGTATTCTAGATATGGTACGATAAATGGGTCGGGAGCCAGGTAGTTGTGAGAACGGATTCTGAATCTTTTTGTGTCCTGAGTTCATAATGTAACATGTGTAAGATTAAGTAAGAAGAACAACACATTATCTGAAGTATGAAAAATGTATAACCAAAATAGAAACTTACAAATGCGGCAATGTTTTCCCTTGTGCCTCTGTGAGTATCGCCCATTGTTAGAAGAGCCATTGTTTAAAATGCTTGAGATTATGAAAGACTTAGGAAGAGATAGAGAGTATGAAAGACTTAGAAAGTGTAAGAGATTGTGAAAGATTTCGTAGCAGAGAGTGAGACTTGTGTGGGTGTGAGAGATGTATGATATGGTATGTATTTATAGGCAAATAAATTTCATATAGTGGTTGTTGGTGCTTGCATGCATGCGAAGTGTCACTCTTGCAGGCTAGGTGGCAGCCTAGGGGGTTACATATATGCATGCATGCGTGTACAAAAAATGAAAGATGTCACTCTTGCAGGCTAGGTGGCAGCCTAAGGATGTATCACGATTAGACAGTAAGGGAGACGCCATTGGACTTGGCGAAAGAGTACAAAAATGAATGGTGTCTCCACCCCAACTGGCGAATAAGAGGTGTCCTTTGTTGCAGCCTAGGCTCAGGCTACGTGACAACCTTTGGGATTCCTTGCCTGAATGCATGTAAGCCCATTGGAGATGATGGGAGGAGACTTACAACATACAGTATAGGTGCAGAGTAGGCGCAGGCTAGGTGGCAGCCTAGAGGGTTACATATATGCATGCATGTATCACAATTGGACAGTAAGGGAGGCACCATTGGACTTGGCGAAAGAGTACAAAAATGAATGTTGTCGCCACCCCAACTGGCGAATAAGAGGTGTCCTTTGTTGCAGCTTAGGCTCAGGCTACGTGACATCCTTTGGGATTCCTTGCCTGAATGCATGTAAGCCCATTGGAGGTGATGGGAGGAGACTTACAACATACAGTATAGGTGCAGAGTAGGCGCAGGCTAGGTGGCAGCCTAGGGGGTTACATATATGCATGCATGTATCACGATTGGATAGTAAGGGAGATGCCATTGGACTTGGCGAAAGAGTACAAAAATGAATGGTGTTGCCACCCCAACTGGCGAATAAGAGGTGTCCTTTGTTGCAACCTAGGCTCAGGCTACGTGACAGCCTTTGGATTCCTTGCATGTAACACTATTGGCAGCCTTGGGGGGTTGCATCCTTACTTAATTGAAATTTTTAGCCTTACGTTTATCATAACATTGATTCACATAATCTGTCAAATCTTCCAACCTTCAAACGTTCTTACAATCAAACCTTCAAACCTGCAAACAATCAAACATATAAACTTTCGAATCACTCATAAAGTTCAAACATTCCAACCTTCAAACATTACAACATTCAAACCTTCATACAATCAATAAACCTCAAACATTCCAACCTTCGAATCACTCATAAAATTCAAACATTCCAACCTTCAAACCTTAAAACAATTCTACACAATGGCCTCTGCACCATAATTTATCGTCAAAGCACATTTCAACGGTGAGACATACATTTGTCCCACCGCTGGGTTTTTGTTTAGAGACACAGACAACATTTGATTTCTCTTAAACGGAGAAAGCCAATTTCTCGTACTTCAAAAAAAGATTGGAGGCCAAACTTGAACAAGGCCCGGTGTCCTAGATATTTTATCAGAATCCAGTTTTCTTTGGAAACAACCAAGTAATTTTTTATAAGGTTGAAGTTCAAGATGACGAGGATCTCCAGAATATGTTTTTCAGCCATGTCTATTCTGGGTACGACTCTATTGAGTTGTACGTAATGTTGCGAGAGCCTCAGGTGACACAAGAGGTTGATCCTTTGGAGAATGAACAAGCTGAGGTAGATGCAGTTGATGATGAAGAAGAAGATAACGAGTTAGAGTTTGATGAAACGGTGAATGATGATTCCGACGATGATGGCATCCCTAGTATTCCTGCAAACAAAATCTACACACCACCTCCGCACATGACAAACTTCAACATGGCATGACCCTCCTTCTACGCATGTCTATTGCGTTAGGCATATCGTCCCAGAATTTCTCGAGGGAGATCAAGGACAAAACATTGAGGAAAGCGATTATGAATGCGGGATATGCATTGACACAAACCCACATTCAAATATTACCGCAACGAGATCCGTTCTAATCCGGAAGCCGGTAGGTGGATCGACAATATTCCGGTGGAAAAATGGACTAGGTCATACGACAATGGCCAAAGATGGGGGCATATGACAACGAATCTTATTGAATCAATGAATGGGGTATTCAAAGGCATACGAAACCTCCCAATCACTGCCTTGGTAAAATCTACGTATTTTAGGATGACTGCGTTATTTGCCAAAAGAGGTGAAATATGGAATGCGGTGTTGCAATCTGGACAACTATGAAGTGAAAGCTGCATGAAATACATTAAGGCTGAAAGTGCTAAAGCCAACACTCACATGGTTATACGGTTTGACCGACACAGCCACAACTTCATTATGAAAGAGACAATCGACCACAATGAAGGCCTGCCAAGACAAGAATATAGGGTCATGCTACCTTCTCAATGGTGCGATTGTGGCAGGTTTCAAGCATTTCGTATGCCTTGCTCTCATGTCATTGCAGCTTGTGCTCATACCCATCAAGACACACTGCAACTTCTGTCAAACATTTACAAATCTGAAACGTTGCTCAACGTTTACAACAACAACTTTCCTTTGGTAGCAAAACCAGATTATTGGCCTGCATACGACGGCGAAATAGTGTGGCACAATGACCAAATGCGAAGGAACAAGAAGGGTCGTCCAAAAGTAAGCGCATCACAACAGAAATGGACGATCTTGACAGGTTGGAAAGAAAGTGTGGTTTATGCCGTCAGGTCGGACACAATCGCAAAAACTGTCTGAATCGGGCGTCTGCCTCGACCACATAAATATTGTAATACATAAAATCTTTTCATAATTGTGTTGTAAACATTTGGGTTTTCAGTTAACAGATTTTGCTACAATTAATAAAACGCGTACAAGAATAATTAGCGATATTCCATCTACGAAATTACAACTGTTAACAC